AGTTTTGTAGAACACACAAATACTCTCCCGTATCATCTCATCATGTAAACACTGAACAACACGTAACGGGTACATATAAAGGTAAAAGATGAAGTTGATGAGGATGGTAGTGAGGAGGAAAGCAAGACCAAGGAAAAGATGGCTTTGCCAACAAAGGTTCTTGTGGAGCCGAGTCACACCAATGCTTCTTCAGAAATTGAAAAGCAAAATCCAAAAGTCGAGGCATGACTTACAAAAGCAAATCGACAGAAAATCTGGATAACAATGATGCAGGAATGAAGATTAGAGCTGTATCAAATGTTGGCATGGAAAAGTTTGCCTTTGGGTCAACAGATGATGGCTGCTTAATGATTCCTACCAAAGATATATTATTGATTCAAGTTGTTGATACTCAATTCTTAGGAGAGCTCAAAGGGTTCAAAATTTCGACAGGTCGAAAACCTAAATTCAAACAAAGACAAAAAAAAAAAAAAAAAAAAAAAGGATCTGAACTCGAGGACGAGTTCTTTCTGAGAAGAAGAGTATGATGTAGCCCACGACAATTAATATGATCTATGTATTAAACATGTTGTTGGTGGCTTTCCATCTTTTCAAAACCATGTTTTAATTAGATGTCTAGAAACTATAATCTTTAGTATTAAATATGTATCCTATCAATTATAGTAACTTCCCTATTTAAAGGGATACTTATGTACTCAAAAGGAAGTCAATTTTGGTGAATTAAAGTTAATTAAGAAGAGAGTGATTTTCTCCTTCCTTAAATCAAGTGTTAGGTTTGGTCGCCTTGAGCGAATCCAAGATTAGCGACGTCGAGCAATTCCGTTGCACCCGGTTGAGTGATTCACAAATTACTACCCTCCGCCTCCTTGAGACTTCTTGACTCCTACTGCATCAAGAACCCCAGAAGTTCTGATTCTTTAGGTGTTACCACTATTCATAATATGTGTTCTAACTAATGGCTCTGAGATCACAGTTGGCAGCCACTTGACAACAAGGTTCTAACATAAATAAAACTGATCAAGTAGAGGCCATTTCAACAAATTATTTATCTCATATAATGATCAATTTGTTATAAACTTCTTATTTTAGTGTGATTGTGTAAATCCTAGATTAGATTTAATTCTGGTTATTCTTCCCTATTAGGACTTGTATTCCTTGGAGGAGAAGGATTTTTTTCCCTCTTTTATTACTATAAATAAAGGCACTGCGTAGGGGGGATAAAATATCCTCTACACAATCCTACAACACACATCTGTCTCTATATTTTCTCTGTGTCGTCGACCCCTTCTCCCTGTCAGTTAAGTATAGGCCACAACACGTTATCAGCAAGCTCATACCATTGCGTTTAGGAATTTAACGTGGAAGTTTTTCTGCATCAAACCAGTTCATCAATATCATCACGTAATCATGTTCTTTCAAAACAACGGTTTTTATCTTGATATTTTTGTAGTCCTGATAGTATGAACATTCACCATAATGCATGACCCAACTTTATGTTTTTCGAATTTTAGATTCTACATAAATTGTGTATGCATTATATCCATGATTGTTGAATTATGTGAATTGATATTTCCCGGAATTGCATCAGATATCTGCTTATGCATTAAATTATATGTTGAATTAATTTGAAAAAAAAAAATTAAAAAAAGGGGTTTTGTAAAACCATAAAATCACCGGCTCTATGTTGAACCGCCAACACCAAGCCAGTAGCTTTCGTCGGCTTGGTGAGCCCAGCTCAGCCACAAGTTACAAGGTTGCAAGCCCATAACCAAACAGTGTGTTTTAAGCACCATCGTCCCTATCCCAAACCCTTAGCTTGAAGCCAAAGTCCTCTTCGTCGACTTTTCTGATGAAAACACGACCAACAGTCATGTGATTTGGAGGAAACTCATCGTTTTCACCAACGATCTTTGAAATTCTAGAAGAATTTCATGAGTTTTTCGTAGGATTCACTCAAATCCCTTCAGTTCTCACACCCCTGATGTTAAGGTTCAACGTTTGTCATCCAATCTTGGTTCTCCGATGAACCAAGGGTTGCACCGACCATGGAACATCGCCTGAAGCGGTGCCGTTCACCATCTCCGGCGGATTCCCACACCCAACATCGTTGGGGTGGCCTGAAGATCCAACCGAAGCCCTAACGGGCCTCGGATTCATTTTGATCCATATTGCACAACACCCTTTTTATTGGGCCTACTTGTGCTTAGAGCCTTGACCCACATCACCAGCCCTTTGGGCATTGGTGATAACCTAGCCCGAGAACCAGTTGAGCCATTCTGGGCTCCTACCGTTTCTTCCATGCAGCGCGTCACACACAAATACAGCTCCTGCTGGTGTATATGTGTCTATGCCCCACCAGATCCCAGCCTACACATTGGTGCATCCATGTATGCATCACACTAAATCAATGCCCTTCATAAGGCCCTATTTTGGGCTTGCGCATGAAGTCCACTTATTTGTGATGTTGGGCTTGCCTACATGCTAGGCCTGAGCCCAACCTTGCCCAATTTTTGGGCTTGGACCACGGCACTAAATTTGATAAGCCCAGTAGTGGGCTTTGGCCCATTATTTTGGGCCCTCGATTTTAATTGTTTTTTTTTTAGACAATTTGGGTTTTATAATTTTTCATCCGCACTTTAATTTTGGCCCGAAGTCCAAATAATTAATTCAATTATTATAATGACCTGAAATTCTATTTGCATATTTTTGTATATATCTGTGTTTGTTTGCAAGAACATATGAACCTGAAGTTCATAATTATTTCGAAACCTGAAGTTTTCTTTAAAAACATCACCTATGAAAAGCTGAAGTAATTTTTCATGAAAATTTAAACAAATACATATGGATTGATTTTTTCTCTATTACACTAACCACATCTTATCCATTTATTTTGTGATAGGAACATGTCGAATTTGAACAAATTCAACTTCACCGCTTTAGAGGTCTCCGGAAGGAACTACCTCAAGTGAGTCCAAGATGTGAAGCTCCACCTCACCACAAAGAATTTGCGTCCTGCCATTTAAGATGAGACAGACAACCTGGTTGGCGAAGCTAAGAAAGCCACTGTCATGATCTTCATATTGAGCATCTCTTGTTGAAGACCTATTCGACCTTCTCTGCTATTAATATTGTCCTGCAGCAACAATATAGGGCTCAGAAATTCACTAAGTTTTAAGATTTGATCTCTATTTTACTTCTTGCTGAAAAGCAGAATCAGCTGTTGATGAAAAATCATCAAGCTCGACCTACTAGAGCAACTGTTGTGCCTAAAGCACATTATAGCACGAACCAGGCATGGTAGGGGTGGCCAGAAGCCACCATGTTAAGGTCAACAGAGCCAAGACCCACTTAAGGGAGGAAACTGAGCCCAAAAGTGCCCCAACCTCACTCCTAAGGCCCCAAACTTCAAGAATAAGGGTAAAGCACCTGAAACCATGGATGTGGACATGTGCTATCGCTGTGTCGATGTTGGGGAAGTGATCCAAGGATTTATACAGTGCTCAAGTGAGTAAGTTACAATGGAATTAAATTTTATTTAGTCTGACTGCAGTTTTTTATTTTTAAGAGCATTACTAAAGCAGTTAACGTTACAATTGTTAATTATAACAACAACTAAATTACAAGAAAATCTGTTCATCAAGATTGTAAATCTGTTCTTCGTTCTTCGTTCTTCGTTTTTCCTTTTAATCTTGGTAACTTGGCACTGGCAGTTGAAAATTACTTAGGGGTGTGCTATCCATACACCCTATTTTACTTCTCACACACCTCTTGATAATTTATGTCCGTTGATCTTCTTCAATTTATCTGATCCGACGGCTGAAAATTAAAAAACTGTGTGAGAAGTAAAATGACGTGTGTGGATATCACACCCCATTACTTACCGCCAGTAGAATAAAAGTTACAAAGTCGATATGTATTGTATGAAAATCTATCAAGGCTTGAGAATATTTTAATTTTTGTCATAGACTTAAAAAAGTTAGAAAGTTATACTATTACTAAGCAATTTCAAATGAAAGCAGCTTTTGCTTTCTGGGGCTTTCCGGGAAAGCAGCTTTTCTTTGACTTTCGAATCTCAAAATATATTCACAATCAAATGAAATCGTCTGGTAATTGCTGAGATTGGCTGCCTGCAGAAGCAACCACAGCAGTACCTAATTACTGGTTCGAATGAATATTCAATCCACTTGCTCGTTTCGCTCCTTTGTTTATTGTGTGAGTCACTTTCACACACATATATTTTCATCTATGTAAATTAGATCGACCAAACAAATTATTTTTATTTGTTTAGAAGGTTCGTTGCAGGTTTATGCGGTGCTGGAAAAACTGTAGTCATGCTATCGTTTACTTGCAATTGCATGCCACTTGTTAAGTTTTCGATACTGCAATTCACACTTATTTTTACTTCTCACACATCTTTCTCAATTTTTAACTGTCGGATTTAATAAATTAAAGAATATTGATGGCAAAAAATCAACAAGTGTGTGTGGGGAAGATAAAAATGGGTGTGTAAATAGCAATTTCCTAACCATTTTGTCGGAAAAATGATCTTAGTTCTTGTGGATAACAAGTTGAGACATGCTAAAAGGACTTTCAAAAGTGAGACTTTCCATATATTCTATGTCGCCTCATGTTTTAGGCACAATGTTTTATAACATGGTACAGAAATTGACATTAAACTATGAAATGGTAGAAATTCCATGAAAAATCTCACTCTTAGAATTTCCTTAGCATTTCTCAAAGTCTATATTGGATTTTTGAAATTTGAGTCATTTTCTAGGAAATTTCATGGACAAATAAATTACTACAAAAAAAAATTACTACAATCCGATTGCTTGGCCACAAATAATTCAAAGTCCAGTCGCTGTCACTCGTACTAAAAGACATCTGCAATTTTTTTGAATATTTATATGTTGCCACTCACTTATATAACTCCATACATTTTGAAACAGAGAAAATCTGTTGAGGAAAAAAAGGTAATCGGAATAGTAAAGAGAGAGTTAATGGCAGAGAGTGCAGTACAGTTTCTTCTGGACAAGGTTGCACCACTTTTCGAAAATGATATTCAACTTATGGGAGGGGTTAGGGAAGAAATCGTGTATCTGAGAGGGGAACTGGAGTGCATGACCACTTTTCTGAGGGTTGCTGATGCATTTGAAGAGAGTGATGAGGAAGTCAAAGTATGGGTGAAGCAAGTAAGAAGCATTGTTCATGATAGCAAAGATGTTCTCGACGAATTTACACTTCTCCATCCATAGGTTTTCGTGTTGCATTAAGAACATGAAATCTCAATACCGAATTGCCGCTGAGTTACAAGGCATCAACTTGAGAATCAGAAAAATCTCGGAGGTTCATAGGAGACTACGTCACAAGTTTAATATGGCTGAACAAGGTTCGGGCTCTTCAACTGCACGTCAAATGTGGGAGGGCCATCGTGGTGATGCTCTACTATTCGAGAAAACTGATATAGTTGGCATTGACGAGCCTATAAAGCAGATGGTAGGGTGGCTTGTCATCGGTGGTTCCGGACGAGAAGTAATTTCTGTGGCTGGAATGGGAGGACTGGGAAGACAACCTTGGCGAAGCAAGTCTATGATGCAGCAGAAGTGAAGAAGCAGTTCAAAGTAAGCGCTTGGATCACGGTTACTCAGTCTTTCAAACTCGGGGAACTCCTCGAAAACATGATTAACAATCAATTGAAAACAATAATCAAGGCCTTCCTGCAGAAAATGAGGTACCTAATTGTTCTCAACGATGCGTGGGATATGGACGGATGGCCCTCTCTGAAGTATGCCTTGCCTAACAATACTTGTGGCAGTCGAGTCATACTAACTACTCGAAAAACTGATGTAGCCTTGCCATTGTGGCAGTCATCGATGTTTTGGCTACCAAAGACAAGCGCAGGATTAACGAGTGGGATATGGTTGGCCATAGCCTTGGTGCTGAAATGGAGGGCAATGACAAACTCAAGGACTTGAAACAAGTACTTTCACTCAGCTTTAATGACTTACCTTACTATCTCAAGTCTTGCTTCTTGTACCTGAGCATCTTTCCTGAGGATCACCTAATCGAGAATATGAGACTTGTTCGGTTATGGATGGCAGAGGGTTTTATCGAAGCAAAACAAGGCAAAACACTACAAGATGTTGCAGAGGACTACCTGAATGAACTGTTGAATAGAAGCATGATTCAAGTAGCGGAGACAACGTCCGATGGAAGAGTCAAAAGCTTTCGTGTCCATGATCTTCTCCGTGAGATTATCACCTTCAAGATAAGAGATCAGAACTTTGCCACAATTGCTAAAGAGCAAAACATACCATGGCCTGATAAAGTCCGACGCCCGTCAATGCATACCTCTTTGCAATACATACAGAAAAACAGGTCCGGTTCTCAACTACGTTCTTTGCTTATGTTCAGAGTTACTGAGAAGCCACTACTGCAAACAATTTTTCTTGGAGGTTTTAGGCTTCTTACTATGTTGGATTTGCAAAGCGCACCTCTAAATGTTTTTCCAGTTGAAGCTGTCAACCTTTTCTTTTTGAAGTATCTAAGCTTGAAAGGTACCGGGGTGAAAACCATTTCGAAATTTATAGGGACGCTTCAGAACCTGGAGACTTTGGATCTGAAGCATTCTCTGGTCATTGAACTCCCAAGTGAAATTCTGAAGCTTCAACTTCTACATCATCTTTTAGTATATCGTTATGAATTTGTACGTAGAGAAATTTTTTAGACAAAATGTGGCTTTAAGTTGCTTGCAAACATAGGGGCTTTAACTTGCCTTCAAAAACTTTGTTTCATTGAGGTAAACCAAGATGGAGGTGCCATATTAAGGGAGCTGGGGAAACTAATTCAATTGAGATGGTTAGGCATTGTACATGTGAGGAAACAAGACGGAAAGGCTCTTTGTTCATCCGTCGAAAAGCTGACCAAACTTCGCGCTTTGTCCATAACTTCGGCAGAAGATGATGAGATCATTGATCTGCAACACATTTATTCTCCCCCTCCACTGCTTCAGCGCTTATACTTCAAGGACGATTGGACACATTGCCTCACTGGATACCTTCTATGGACAGCCTTGTCAAGTTACATCTGAAATGGAGTAGGTTAAAGGACAATCCCTTGTATTCCTTCAGTATCTGCCCATCCTAGTACATCTCGAATTATCTCAGGTGTCTGAAGGAGACATATTGTGTTTTGGAGCTGGAGGATTTAAGAAGCTCAAACATTTAGGCATTGGTGAGTTTGATGAGCTTAGATGTATAGAGGTGCAAGTGGGAGTAATGTCGTCCATTGAAAAGCTAAGTATCCGGCACCGTAAGTCGTTAGAGAAGGTGCCATCCGGGATTGAACACCTGAACAAGCTGAAGGTGCTTGAATTATTTAATATGCCAGAAAAGTTGGTCAAGACACTGACTCCACACGAACAAGGCAACGATTATTGGAAGCTTGCGCATGTCCTGGAAGTTTATTTCACCAACTTGAGAGAGTCTCGGTGGAGGTCTACCCTTTGGAGGGTTTGAATGAAGGAGAAAACTTTCCTCAAAGGCTCAAATCATTTCTCTCATGAAGAGCCACGAACTTGAAACTCGTTGGAAGTAATGTTTTACTTCACCTGATCAGTTTGATATTACTAAAGGAGATGCCGCATATAAATTACTGTAAATACTCTTGTAGGTAGTTGCAAATACTCCTGTAAATAATCTTGATCAGTTTGATATTCATGTATGTATTACATATATTTTGATGCCTTGGATTGCTCATGATGTAGAACAATTACCCAGAATTTGGAATTTCAAAAGGGATTCCAGGACAGAATAAGAGTTTGGTTTCAAGGTACGAGAAATAGAGGAATTTTAGAACTGGAAGACACGAATGATTTGAAGTTGGTTTAGAAGATGTCAATGACAACTTCTACTATGTTATAAGAGAAGGAAAAAGTTTATTCCATACCATGAACGCATATAAAGCCCTTCTCATATATATCCAACATCTTACATACTAGTTGCGTTGCCAATTATTGTGGAAAAGACGTCGTATTCAAAACTTTCACATATCCTACATCCCCAGATTTTGTGTCATAAAATAGAGTATGCATACAAGAATCTCTATAAAATTATCTCATCCCACATCACGTGAGCTACAAAATATAAGAAAATTAGAAATTTCAAATTTAGAAGATGAGGGATACATAGAGTTTTGGTAATGTGAAGCCACAAAATCTTAAATTTCCCTTGGAGGAGGAACTAGGGAATATATGTAAAATTTTCCCATTGATGGCAGCACGGTTGTTCTTGGGCAAAAGGAAGAACAAAAGATTTAAGATAAATCGAGTAATTTGGAGTGCTACGTGCCTATCATGCCATAGATTTATAGAACACACGAATACTCTCCCGTATCACCTCATCCTGTGAACAACATTTAACGGGTACGAGATATGAAAGGGGAACCCAGAAGTTCTGATTCTTTAGGTGTTGCCACTATTCATAAGATATGTTCTACCTAATGGCCGTGAGATAACAGCATGGTAGCCACTTGACAACAAGGTTCTCACATAAAAACTGACCAAGCCGAGGACATTTCCACAAATTATCTCACATGATGATCAATTAACTATCCAATTTTTTTCTCGAGAAGCTTTAAATCGGAATTTATACCGTGAAATTGTAATTTTTTTTTTTAACTTAAAAGAGAGAGACTTTTCGCTTAGTTGGTTAAGAGCATTCATCTTTACAAACAAAGTTTGGAGTGCCATTACCCCCTCCCGGCCCCACCATCGCGTGTATCACTTTCAAAACCAAAAACTTTAGAGAGAGACTATATTTTTTTTATGAGACCGTAAGCCGGTTATTATCTTATTATAATTAGATCCATCATGCAAATCATAATCCTGAAGGCTAAAGCTTCCAAAACCTACCAACTTAACTGGCTCCCAATGTAAACCAAAAAAAAAATAAAAAATCCCTGCACGGCTACACCTAATCGAAACCAAGATCTACTCATTTCCTGTAAAAATTATCATCTCAACCGCCTACTCGGTTACTACTGCCTTGATCCAGCTGCGTTAGGAGCAGCAGCAGTAGCACAGCTGCTCTTGAGGAATGCAGGAATTGAAGGAAACAACGGGAACAACTTCCGCAAACAATTCTGATCAACTTCGATGAAAGCCTTGCAACAAGCAGGGCCTAGTGCAAATTTACCGGTCAAGATTGTGGTATAAATTTCCGATGCACACCCTGGAATGTTCTGAAGTGAAGACCAGCACTTTGCTACCTCACCCGGGGTTCCCGGAGGAGAAAGCCCTGGAATCCCAGGAGGGAATAGACCTGGGATGCCGGGTGGCAGCAGGCTTGGGGTCCCTGGCGGGAATGGGCTTGGGATGGTCGGGAAGGGCGGTGGTGGCGCATCCGCCCCGGTTGCTGCACATGTTGCCAGTAGGAGTAGTGAAAGTAGTGCATGAGCTTGTCTAGACATGGCTATTAGGAAGCTTGGAACTTCTCTTTCGTGCTATCCCAGAAAAAGGGTTTGGCAGATTGGACGTGTTGATGTTGGAGAAGATAGAGGGTAAGGGTTTATATAGAAATTTTGATGCTCGGGGAGTAGGTTACAAATGGAATTAAATTTTGTAAAGTATTAATGCAGTTTTCTGTGTTTTGATGAGCGTTAGTACTAGAGCAAAACGTTATAACTGTTGGACAGGTTCTGAAATTTATGTCATTCATTCTTTCCTATTAAATTACCAGTAAATGTTTTTAAGCTTGTCTCATTTGTACCAATATGGTTTAGTATTAATAGATAGATATATACGCGTTATAACATGAGTGAACTGGTAACACTATGCAACAACAGTTAAAAGTTGTCATACTCATTCAATCACCGCACAACAAATCAGTGGAGAGGGAACACAACTTACAGCTTTTTTTTTTTTTTAAACAAACGATATTATCTAACACTAAAAGGGTGAGAGAGTGAGCTAAGTCACACAATGGGTTAGCAATATTGTGGTTTAAATTTGCTTTTGACGAGAATCAAATCTAAAACCTCACTTACAAGAGGAGAGAAATAACACTAAACCGTAGTACTAAGTGGCATGCCAAAGGTGAAGTTGAGCCACATATTATGGAAAGTCATAATAAGACTGAACAACTCTGCCCCCACCACACCCCACACCCCCCCCCCCCACCCCAACCCCAACCCCCTTGGTGTAGATACTATCGTTTGTTCCAAAACAAAAAGCTTGAATGATTTTCAAGTTCAGGCACATTGTTTTCCACTTCATAAATTCAAATAGTACTATTTATGCGAACTTGGGATTTTCTTGTGTTGCAAGTTTACCAGAAAGTGCCTCCATTTTAGTTGAATTAATTTTCTCCGGTGTACATGTTCCCAATCAAATTTTCTTTAAAAAGGAATTTGAAACTAAACTCAATAAAATGATTTCCTCCAGTATTACTTGCGCTACAATTTATGAGAAAAATTAGAAAATGAGAAGATGAGAGCATGCAGCGTAGTTGGTCACGGCCGGGAAAGGAAGGAAAGGGTTTGAGCAAAAATTTTCTGGACTAGCAATGTCTTGCAGCTGTTTTATAGGACGAAAGTCTCGTCGATCATCTCATAAAATCCTTCTGTTTACTTCGCTGTGGGACAAGCAACCATGCGGGAATAGGTATAGAGAGAGAGAGAGGATTGGTGCACTTCTTTAGTATATTTACATGGACATCCAGATAAAAACTGAAATGTTGATGGTAAAACTTGGATTCATCAAATTTACCATGCGGGCGTAGGTACAAATAACATTCAATTCAACCGAAAACACACTACAATGATCAACTGTACATACTTCATGAATAATTACAGTAAACTCCTTTTCGGTTGTAATCTTGAACTCGGATAGAAGTCCTTCAACCTCGCTAACCAGGTTGCATCTCTACAGCTCTTGACCTTGACAAAATGCCTTTCATCAATGCATCTTTCGTCGTCCTACATACATTTTACAAGACTACATGAGCCTGCATATCCCAGCAACCAAGGCATTATTAGCTTTCAAGCAATGACTTAGTTTAGCAAATAGTAAAATTCAAGGAACAGTCAGTTTAGCAAATAGTAAAATTCAAGGAACAGTCCATCTATAAGCTGCTTATCAGGAAAGCATAAGCAATACAACATAAAAAGCAGTATCATTCACAACCAGATTTTAAGTCTTTTGTCCTAAGATCAGCCCCCATGGCATCAACTCATTTCAGGTTAAAACCACCGTTATACTAAAGGATCAAGTTTGAAGCTCTCCAAATCCAACTTTTATGACATAGAGATAGATGAATTCAACTATTAATGATATTATTAGGATCCATAATAAGAGCACACACAAACCTCTCCTAAAAATTTAACAGTGGTCGGTGAACTAACCACGGCCCTAAACGCCAGCTTTAAATCAGGATGAACAAGGTCAAAATAGATGTTATCAGCACAGACTGTAATTCAGTATGCTCCATACAGAACTATTGATCAACCTAATTAGTATTTGGAAATATATTTTCTACTTTAGGAAAGATGAAAGCATTTCTCTTTAGTCTTTGAATATGAAGCAGCTTAACTTCGGTAATCTTAAACTTCCACAAAAATCCTAGGTTAATCCAGTTTACCCCCAAATTAGTTTGATTATTTGTTCTTAAAACCATTATACTCCATGGGATGAAACCCAACGTAATGGCATTGAGTTTTACTAATTGAGTAAACATATTTCGTGTCAACAATACAGAACTCAGCCAATTGTTCTTAAAACTCACCTCAGATGCCGCTTTTGAGAACTATATGGTTCATCCCTCCTCATCCTCAGACTTGGACAAATTGACAGAACTTTGATCCCCGGTCTCTGTCGGTTGGGGATTGGGCACATCATCAGAACTCTGAACCACAATCACAGGCTCCATCAGTTGTGGAGATGTACCTACAAAGAAAAGGAAAGCATGGCATAAGCAACCACTGTAAGAAAATCATTTATTATACAAAAGATTTCAATACTTTCTATCACAAAAGCTCTTAATCCGTCCAATGCCCCAAAAGACATACATTATAAAAAATAAAAAATAAAAGCCAGAATAATTCCTTTATCTTAATCATTCTAGCTACTTTTTATCATTAACAAATCAAGATCAATGCCTAAAAATATGATCAATCCGTAAACGCTTTTAGATTTTTGATATTCTCACCTAAAGAGAGAAAATTGCATAATTCCGAACCAAACCCAGATGCAGAAACGAATTAGATGATCCAATTAAATCAACCACAACGCAAAATAATAAATTTCCAATCCCAATTAATTGAAGGATACAAACCAAATTTTGAACAGAACCCAAATCATAAAATCGAAAAACGGAAGCAAACCTTCGATAAAATAAGCAGAAGAAGGCCATCCTCTAACAGTGGTCATAGACATGGTCTCCTCCTCACTCAGAGGGTTAGCCAACTTATCGACCAGCTGAGCCAGGCCGTGCGATCTCGACCGTGGGGGAGGGACCCAGTAGGAGGCGCCGGGCAGAAAGGGGAGCCAATCGGGCGCGGATCGGCGGACGATGATCCGGTGGATGGCGTCCTCGAGCTTGCGCAGAAGGGGATCGGACGGCGAGTCGGCGGAGGAGTCGGTTGGTGGGTCATGGTGAAAAGGGAGGGTGGATTGGGCGCGCAGGTTTATTAGGCGGGAGGAGCAGGGCGGCGATAATTTGGAGGAGAGGTGGCGGGTTAGGCTAAGGGTTTGAGAAATCGACCTTGCCATTGATGACCGAATTGCTAGAGAGAGGGGAGATTTTGAGGGGGTGTTTGGATAAGAGGAAAATATAGAGAGCAAATTTAGGTGTGTATTTGTGCGTGTATGCGAGAAAGAGAGTGCTGGATGGTGTAAGAGAGAGACGGTAGACTGGTGGGGAAAGGGAGGAGCGAGAGGGTTATATAGGTACATTCCCGACCGTACCGTCAAAAGCATTTTTTTATTGGTGAATTCTTAGACTTTTTTTTTTTTTTTTTTTTTTTTTTGATGAGTTGGTCAAGTTGGAACACCCAAAGACTTTATATTCTTTTTTGTTATTGCATTCAGATTACTTTCGTTTTGAATTAAATTTTTAATGATGTTTAGAACAAAACAATATTGATGTGTGAAAATTAATTTATCTCTGTTCCTCGCTCTGTCACCGTCGCATTTAGGTATAATTGTTTTTAGTTAGGATTTTGCTGAGTAGTTGTTGATTTTAGTCCAACACAATTATTCTGTTTGTCTACGTGATTGTCTCAAATCTCAATATGGTTGACAAGTATTTTATGACGGTGTCTTGTTCAATGTGGTGACGGTGACACTACGATGTCAAACAACACGCTTTGAAGAGCTATGTGAATCTAAATACTTGCGAGTTTTAAATGTGTAGATTTTAATTTATTTTATTTGTTTTAAGGACTAGTGAGTTTTAAAATGTTTAGCTTTCACAAAAACACAAGTTTAATTTGTTGTGTTATTTGAAGTATTTACGAGAGATTTTGGTTTGCTTTGGTATGCTGCCATTTTGTGTCGCTAGAGGTGATCAATATGTGTTGATGATGGTTCAAGTAGGTGGAGTTTTAGTTGTTTGACACAACGTTTTTTTTAGGGAAAGAGATCCTCTCTTAATCTTTTCCACTAATGCCACCTAAACAAGTGATCCGGATTCTTGAAATTTGATCCAACGGCTAAAAACAGGAAGACTCTTTAAAAGTTATAATAATTTTAACCGTTGGATCAAATTTTAAAGATCTGTATCACTTGATTAGGTGGCCTTGATGGAAGAGATTAGAACATAATCTCTTTCCTTTTTTAGTACATCGTTTGACTTGCGGGTCATGTTTTCTCTTTTGCTATTGTATTCTTAATCATTGTATGGTCGCTAAGATTTTAAAACATTTTCAATTATTAGCACTTCAAAGTAGGCATTATTAGCCACTAAAAATATCTTAGATATAATAGGATTTACACAATCATATTACTGTGACAGAAAAGCATTTATTAGCCATTAAAAATAGATTAGAAGTTGTTGTTAAAACTGATAGCAACCACCTTTACTAACATCCTCATCATGCCATATAGAAATAGACATTTCGGTTGAAAAAACACTAATGTTGTCATTTTTAACTCATTATTAATATAGATATTTTGACTTTTCCTTTAAAGATGCTCTTAGTGTCACATCTCAAAAATAGATTAGAAGTTGTTGTTAAAACTGATAGCAACCACCTTTACTGACATCCTCATCATGCCATATAGAAATAGACATTTCAGTTAAAAAAACATTAATGTTGTCATGTTTAACTCATTAGTAATATAGACATTTTGACTCTTCCTTTAAAGATGCTCTTAGTGTCACATCTCAGCCCAGACCCCTACCATATCCCGGACTCGACTCCACTATAGCACGATATTATCCGTTTTGGGCCCCGAATACGACCTCACAGTTTTGTTTCTGGAAACTCATACGAGAACTTCCCAGTATGTCACCTATCCTGGGATTGCTTCTCCCGTAGCACGATATTATCTGTTTTGGGCTCCGACCACGCTCTCACGGTTTTGTTTCTGGAAACTCAGACGAGAACTTCCCAATAAGTCACTATCCTAGATTGCTTTCCCACGAACTCGTGTAACTTCGGAGTTCCGATAGAACCGAAAACCAGTGAGCTCCTAAAAGACCTCGTGCTAGGTAGAGATGAGAATATACATATAAGGCTTATATAATCCACTCCTCTGAACGATGTGGGATGTTACACTTAGTATTCATCATTTTTATAATTATTATTTAATAATACTCAAGTTAAAGTTAAAGCAACTTCACTAAAAAAATGCACAACATGAAGAGTCCCTTTTTGCTCAACGTCCCCCAACTCAAGTAGGATTTCAGAGGGAATAAAGTCGATACTTTACCGATTAGAATATATAATTAAATCGATGCCATTCCAAACTTGAAAAAGCAAAATTATATATTTGCAAGTCGCCCATATGTTGATCCAATAACTTTTTAATGGGTATATTAGTCCCTTTATGGGATTTGCATTCTCGAAAGAGCGACTCCCTATTTTGGATATTACCACGTTTTTCATATTGTTGTAGGTTTTTCCCTTGCATGCATGCTTATATATATATATATATATATATATATATATATAGATACATATATATATCAATCAAAAGAGATTAAGGGGTAGGACTTCGATTCAAGTCTCTGCGCACAGATCGTTCCTTTTTTAATTTTGCCTTTCAGGCGATTGGATCGAAATCCCCGTGATATATGATTCGAAAGATGGTTTCTAAACCGAGTCTCAGATTTTGAATGCTGGAGAGTCCCATCCTGGCCGGAATGAATGCTGGCAGCATGCTTAAAACATGCAAATCAAACGTAAAGTGGTGTTTCTAGTAGCGGATGAGTGAGTAATGCGCAAGAACCTACCTTTGAAGGGGAACAACAGCTGACAACGACCGTTATGTGTACATCTTTTTACAAGAGAAAATTGTAATATGCCGAAAACACATCTTGATATACTAGAGAAATTATTTCCTTTCAATGTACTAGAAAGACAATACATCCAACACAAATGATTGAATACTAAAAAAAAAAAAAAAAAATTCTACTATTTGTATTACAACACTTTTTAGTGGGAGACCATATTTCGGGCACATGAAAAATTCCGACTCTAACAAAGATGTAAGCGAGTAGAGGGCTAGAGCACTCCCAGGATGGGTGACCCTCTGGGAAGTTGCTCGTGAGTTCCTAAAAACAAAACCATGAGGGAATGGTAAGCCCAAAGCGGACAATATCGTGCTACGGTGGTGGATCGGGCCCGGGTTGTGGTGGGGGCCCGGGCCGGGATGTGACATTGGTATCAGAGCTTATCCTTGGCCGAAAATGTGCCAACGAGGACGTCGGGCCCCTAAGGGGGGTGGATTGTGACATCCCACATCGCCCAGGGGACTGATCCTTATATGTATATTTCATGTCTACCTAGCACGAGGCCTTTTGGGAGCTCACTGGCTTCGGGTTCCGTAGGAACTCCGAAGTTAAGCGAGTAGAGGGCTAGAGCACTCCCAGGATGGGTGACCCTCTGGGAAGTTGCTCGTGAGTTCCCAAAAACAAAACCGTGAGGGAATGGTAAGCCCAAAGCGGACAATATTGTGCTACGGTGGTGGATCGGGCCCGGGTTGTGGTGGGGGCCCGGGGCGGGATGTGACATTGGTATCAGAGCCTATCCCTGGCCGGAAATGTGCCGACGAGGACGTCAGGCCCCTAAGGGGGGTGGATTGTGACATCCCACATCGCCCAGGGGACTGATCCTTATATGTATATTCCATCTCTACCTAGCATGAGGCCTTTTGGGAGCTCACTGGCTTCGGGTTCCGTAGGAACTCCGAAGTTAAGCGAGTAGAGGGCTAGAGCACTCCCAGGATGGGTGACTCTCTGGGAAGTTGCTCGTGAGTTCCCAAAAACAAAACCGTGAGGGAATGGTAAGCCCAAAGCAGACAATATCGTGCTACGGTGGTGGATCGGGCCCGGATTGTGGTGGGGGCCCGGGCCGGGATGTGACAAAGACCACCGTCTGTTAATAAGCCCTACCTTCGGTTCACATGTGGTAAAAAATGTAATAGTATAACATTACTCATCAGATTTCCATTTGATCGAATTATGCTAAAAAGAGAGGAGATTTTTTCATATGAGAAAACAATTCGATTTAGCACGTGTCGTGATATAAATAGAGACAAGTGTCTTTCACGTTTCACTCTTGAAATATGAGACGTACTATTGTACAGTAGAATCAGTACACAAGCTTCCCCATGTACTGAAAACTACCAAACTCCAGTTACTTCTAACAAATTAAACGCATACAAGTAGTACTACACAAGAACACCTTCGAGAATAAGAAGACCAAAATTCATGTTTTACGCTTCTACTTGGATTATAGCTAGGCTAGAGCTCAGATTGAGGTCCTTTACTTTCTCTATTATTATCACCGTCGGAAGAGCTTCTTTTCACTTATTCCTTCTATTTTGGCTGCTGATTCCGCCGAGTCCCCCAACTTGTCTCTGCCCCAACCTCCTTAACCTTCTCTCCAGCTCCTCCATCGCCGCTGCCACCGCTACCAGGCTCAACTTCAATATTCCCCATACTGCCTAGACACCCCTGCTTATTTTTTAGCATCGAAGTTAATAAATCAAATGAAAATAACAAAAATTAAACATGAACGTGTTGGAAGAGAAAAATAGTGTGTCGTTTTCATTTCTCCACGAAATTAATCTCATAACTAGCACAAAATCCTAATCAATAATTTCAACTATTTTTCTTCGAAAATACTTAAAGAAAATAATAATAAATGAGAAACTGAAGAAGTATATCACTTACTCTAAATTAGGAGGGAAGAAGTAAGCTTGAACTTGATTAAATAGGGTTTTGGCCTTCTCCAAGTATGTTGGAACCCTCAAGGGGGAAGATGTATACAAAGAAAAAGCATTCTTCGTCATCTCCCACAGAGATGGTTTTTTGGGTTGTTCATTGACTCTGTCTTCCTCCGTCTTGTACTGCTGCGGCTGCTACTATTCTCCTTCTCCCAACACTCCTGTCGGTCCACAAGTATTGATCAAGAATAATATGCAGAGAATCACCAGAATACCAGAAGAACAAATTCTGATGCGGAGCTTCAAGTTATCTTTAACTTCTTGATCTGTCTCGGTGTGTGGACGCGTGTCTAGCCAGCGCCGCTGAAGACGATGGATGAAAGCGGTGAAAGCCTTGAAGATGTGGCGCATGCATGCACGTCACTTCTTGGTTCGTTGGTCTACACGTACGTCGTCGAAGTCGGTCGGAGTCGGTCAAACTTACAGAAACCTGAAGGTTTTTCTTCCTTATTCATTGGTTCCATACTCAATTGTTGTGATTCCTGTGAATTGTTCAGGGCAAATTCGGTAAAGAGCATTCCACATTCCATTTACACTCGAATTATCAATGCACTTCTGCGAATCAAACATTGTAATTTGTAGAGAAGATTTTAGTTGCGACAGAAATAAAAGTGGTCAACTACGTGTTTTTATGTAAATGGTGGAAAATTTTATTTTTTAAGTTATTAACTTTTTAACATGCATATCTCACTATTTATATAGTAACACGTGATGTACCATCTCGTGTGACTGTCACAATGAAAAAATGGAGCATTTTGATATAGATGCCTCAAGTTTGAATTTTTTTAATCAAACATCTATAACTTTTAAACTTTTGATCAAATGTTCTTTTACTAATTTTTAATTAAAAATTATGATTTTTATTGTATTTAATTAACCAACTAGTTCAGAAAATAATATCACAAATATTCTAAAATCACCACAAACATCCTATCTTATCTTATCATAATTCGTTCAAAATGAATTTTTCTTATTCAAATAATTTGTTTTTTAAATTCTAAAAACACGTAAACATCCTATTAACATACAATTATGAAATATAACATGCACATATATTAAATATAACGTACCAAATAGATATATTAAATATAACGTACCAATCATTTGGTACGTTATATAAATTTAATCTGGGTACGTATTAGTATTTTGGTACGTTATAAAATATTTCTTTTGGTACGTTATGCAATTCTTTATTTAGTACGTTGAATTATCCTTATTTTGGTACGTACAAAACTTATGGTATGTTATGTGTAAGTTGTGTAACCCAAAAAAAAAAAAAAAAAAAACTTTTCACATTAAAGCATTGCACTAAAAAATATTTTGTCAACTCTTAATAATTAATTATTGGAATAAGGACTCATTTTAAATAAAAATGTGAAAACTCTTAGTTGACGTTTCTACTATAAGTAGTTGTTAAAAAATTCAAATTTATTTTCAGTTGCATGAAATTAGGCAGTCTAGTCTACATCTCAATTTAATTATAGACGAACTCTTGTTTTTTTATAATCTATATAAAATGTTGAGTTGGAAATTGGAAAAACTATATTTTATCCAATTAATCTTGAACCCCAGTAGATGTAATTAAATCCTTAAATCGAAGACGGGATGAGATTCCATAAAAATAGCAATAAATTAATGAATATTATTGAGTGCTTTTTTTTTTTTTACATAGATATGGATTTAAAAGAATTTATAAAATACTTAAATTAAGAATATACCTGGAATATACAGTTTAATTAAAAGTAAAAGCATTTTAATCAAAAGTTGAAAAGTAACAGATGTTTAATTTAGAAAAATCTAAAATGAGACATCTAATTCTAATTTTTCCGTAAAAAGGGATCTCTCGTAATTTGTGAGGGATGATTTTGCTACCACCAGACAGACAAAACTAGACTTCAAGTCGTGTGCCTGCCTGCCTGGTCTCCCATTTTTTAGCCAAATGACTTTTGACAGATGACTTTTATGTGATTTCAAATTGATTGTTTTAAATTTCATAAGAATTAAAATTTCAAATTGATTTAACATTCATGGATATTAATGGGTGAAATTTTCAAATAATTTCTTTCAAAATCGTGATACTAATATATTAATTGGTGCTTGGTAAATTGTTATGTTATACGTGAAAATCAAATTATTTCAAATGGTGAAGTGGAGGTTTGTTTCTTTCAACGGATGAGATTGAAATAAGGGAATCTAATTCAACGAATGATTCATAAGTGATGAAATTTAACTTTGTCACAATTTGAACTTTTTAGGTTGACAAAAACCTGTAATACATGATCATTCACGTGAAAATTTCACAAGATATTGACAGATTTTTTATAGAAAGACCAAAATGATATACAGTGAAAAAATAGAAAGAAAACAAAATGGACAATCTTTCCTTTTTGTTTGTATTATATATTTTTATTTTATCAACTTCAATCTATCTGGCATAGTGTACCTTGTTGTACGAAGTTTATATTTTTTTTGATACAAACTCTTTTTTCTTGAAGATCCATTATAATAATGAGAAAGATTTCTGTATGTATGCACAAATCAATCGATAATACCAAAATACGATTAAGGACATCTATCGATTTTCATTATCAATGCCCATAATAAAAATTATGTCAATTTCAATAACCATTTTAGTTAAAAGACCCTAATATCCTAATTTTTGAGATTAATTTGCTTTGTAGGTTTTTTATTTTTTGGAAAACTAGTCTGTTGACCGCATTCCATATTCGATCTAAAATTTAGACCATATAAGTTAGGATTTTTTTGAAGAAACGAGATAAGTTAGGATTTAGATAAAAAAAAAATAGTTTAATCAATCAATTGTAAACAAATAGATAAGGGTTTGTTTAGTCAATAAATTCTCATATTACGAACTGTTTATTTATTTTAATTTTTTTTTATACAAATAATTTTTGCAAAATGATTTATATGAACTGGTTTCAACATAAATATGAAGCTTTGTGGAAGTTTTGTGGATTGACTATTGGGAACGAAATTTATGTGTCTACAACTATAAAGAGTTTTCAAAAGAAACTCTTTTACACATTCTTGAGTAACTAAGAATTATTTTGAAATTGGGTCAGCTAACATTTTATATGCCCATAAATAGAGGTCAGTAAAGAGATATTAGAGCGAGTGACATTAACTTTTAAATGACCATTAACATTAAAATGTCGTATCAGTCTCTTAGTTTAAGGATTAGGATTCTCTCTCATTCTCTTTCTATTCCTTTCCATCCCCCCCTTTCACATTCTCTATTTTATCTTTCTCTTTCTATAAAAAATTAATATAAGATGTTGACGTGACTTAACCGTAACAGTTTAAATAGAAAATGAGGGAAAAATAAAGGGGAGAGAATCCTACTCCCTCAGCTTTGGCATAGCGAAAGTTTGAGTCTATGAATTCATGAGTATTGATACTTAAATTTGCCAGTCCTTTTAAAAATACTGTTAAAACTTCGATCCAAAATAGAGCTTTAAAGGACAATTTTTTATCAAAGAGGAAAGTTTTAATTAAATCAAAGTTTCAACCATAGTAAGTGACCTAGTGATAAAGGTGTAGATTATATCCCCAGTAAAACAAAAAAAAATGTGAAATGATCCGAGTTTGATGCTCTGAACTAACGAATTTGCTTAACTGTAACTACAAATAGAATGAAATTCCTTGTAACTTGTCCGGGCTTAAAAAGGGTGAATAACTTGTTTCCAAAAAAAATTAAATCACAAGTTTGAGGGCAAAAATATTTTAAATGCAATTGGTGCCAAAAACAAAGCAGGCGTATATACACCAGACAACCGTAGTTCAGTGACTTTGCTTTGCTTCTTTCACCACAACAGATAATCCATCCCCAAATAATAGCAATGGCATCAGTCATGGCTTCTCAAGTTATCTTCTTCCCCACCTCAACCCCCATCAAACCAAACTCCAAATTCAAACCCTTCTTCTCTCCCACTCCCACTCTCAAATTCAATCCCAAATCCAATCCCAACCCAATCCCCAAACTCTCCCTCAGACCCATCTGCGCCACTCTCACCACAAACCCCCAAACCCTCACTCCCCAAAACCCATCTCAGCCCCCGTCGGCCCTAACCCACCTCCCCACTCGCACCATCACCACCCTCTTCGCCCTAACAGTAGCCGCCGTCCGCAGCCTCTCAATTTCTCTCGTCAAGTTCGGTTCCCAATTCGGACCCTCCATCGGATCCGCCGCCGGACCCCTCTTCTTTGCGGCGCTCAGGGACCGCCCGAGTGGTAATTTGAATACCCCTTTGACGGTTGTCGCTGCCGGACTCTCCAAATGGCTCGACATCTACAGTGGGGTTTTGATGGTTAGGGTTTTGCTCAGCTGGTTCCCCAATATTCCTTGGGACCGTCAGCCACTTTCGGCGATTCGGGACCTCTGCGATCCTTATTTGAACCTCTTTCGCAATATAATTCCGCCGATTTTTGATACCTTGGATGTTAGCCCCCTCTTGGCCTTCGCAGTTTTGGGAACGCTCGGGTCAATTCTCAACAACAGTAGATGAAGTTATTGATTCCAAGAGGAAAATTGGCGGGTTTTGTTGGTGAATCAGCGGTTTTAATCAATTGGGTAAGGAAATTATTTGTTGTTGAGCTCAAAGTTTAAATTTTTATGAGTTACTCATCATGTGTTGGGTTATATCACTGTAATAACTTTAAATTCAGTATGAAATATATAAATTTTGACAGGTTTTGTGGAATGGATTTTCGATATGCCTTTCGTATGTGTTTTGCAGTTCGGTATTTATCGCAGGCCTAAGCGTTGTTTATTTGTACAGCTTTTACGTGGAAATTTGTTTTGAAACTCTGGAGATTATATCATGTGTGAATGTTGCGAAATGAGGATAGGAAAGAAATTATAGAGCTTGGCACTTTGTTGTTTATTCTAGATTAGATTAATGATAAGTTTTGATGAAGCAACAACATTTGTGACGACAACTAATGTGCTTTCTCGCCGAAAGAGAGAAGGAAAGGAAAGAAAATGGAGAAGGGTGAAAGCATGTTATAGTCACAATTTGACGAGGAAAGTGATTTGAGTGGCTCAGTTTGTTTAATAGATCATGCTGCCAGCAGGACGAGGTTTTATAATTTAAAAAAGTAGTGAACCTGCTTCCATCAGTTTAATTTCAAGGCTTACTTTCTATGAATTAGTTTTAGTAGAGGTTGTTTTCTGATCATGTGTGTTGCAATGAGTTAACTGGGTGAGGTAGTTTGCTGATTTATGTTTGTTCTAAACTGATTTTGTTAGCAGTACTTATTTTGCAGAATATATATAGTTTGCGTGCTTGTTTTGTGATTCGGTGCCATTTCAAATTGATTTCGGTCAATTTTAAGTGGCAGTAAGTGATGTTATTGCCCTTGCGTACGGGCCTGATTTCAAGAATCCTTTGTTAGGGAATCTGAATTGACTATGTTATCTCTAAACAACCATATAAAGATTGAGATTTCGATTGACAAAGATAGGTCTTTGAAGGACCGATCTATGAGTAAGAAATGCTATTATGCTTTGCTATTTTAGTTTTTATCATTTGGTTTTGAGCAATGGAAATATGTACGTCTCATTGGTGAAGATCGGGTATGCAATGGTGTCCTGTTTAAGTTTTTCATTTCCAGAACTGGGGATTAGCTGTGAAAACTGGATTTGCGTTTCTCTACCTTATGTCAAAAGGTATCGTTTGAAACTTCTGTAGGAGTGTTGTGTTAAAGTTATCGGCATTCATAGACCTTTTTCCTTCAACTCCTCCGCTCGGCTGATAGTCCAATTCATATCAAGGGAACTATTCAATGTTTATGTTGATGATATGTTCAGGTGGCCTTATCGATGTTGAGGCAGCATCCGTCACACCTCCGTGGTGCATCTGATGATCGGTAGAGACGTGCCCGAGAGATGAATCTTTTAATTTGGGTTTTATGCAGCAATGAATGGTTTAGTTCATGTCTGAGTGCAGAAGCATGATGTGGATGTTACAACCACCTTCTCATAGAGATTGTCCAAAATTTAGATGTTGAAGCATTGTTGTTTCTCAAATGATGGTGATTTATGTTGCTTGTACTAAAAGGAAGCCTCTGCTGTAGACCTGTAAATGGGTTGGGTTTACTGGGTTTTGGGTTTAACTTGATCCGTTAATCTAACGGGTCATCCGAACCCAACTCGTTAAGCTAACGGGTCATCTATTTCATCCGTTAACAATTTTTTTTCTTTCTTTTCTTTTCTTTCAAATCAAATCAAATAATTTCAAGAGAAAACACAACACACAAACACCAAATGCAAACAAATCAGCAGCAGCAGCAGTTGCCATGGGAGACGTAGTAGTGTTGTACGCGGTTGCAGGAATGGGTCACATCATCTCCATGGTGGAGCTCGACAAGCTCATCCACCGCTACGGCCCCCACAAGTTCTCCATCACCATTCTTTACACCTAAGGCAGCTTCTTCGACACCCCTAAGTACAATGTTGTCTGGAACTCCAGTCAAATTGGTCATCCCACGAACCACCAGGTTCTCATCATTGATCCAAATCTACGGTGTCACCGTCATGGTTGATGATTGTCTGCCCAACTACTATCTCACAACATAAAACACATTTCACATTCAATGGGATAAACAAAACAAAAATTCAAGTTTTATATTTATATTCATCAATCAGATAAAATATTTCAAATTTCATCTTTAGTTCATAAGTCAAAAACACGTAATATTTGGGAACAAAAAAGATACCATCAATGGAAAAATTAAGAACCCAGGTGAGTTGCATGTTTGTTTTTCTGGTAAATGTAAAAATTTGAGGCAAAATTGATGCAGAAAATAAAAACCCAGAAGCGAAAAAGGAAAAGAATTGAGGATTTTGAAGCAAATAAAGAGCTCAGGCCCCGCCTACATCCGCCGCATCTCCCACTCCCACGGTGGGAGTCCCAACCTTCCATTACCTTCCGCCAATTCCCTCACGTCATAAATAAAATTACCCAAAACATCAGCGACATTGCAATGATGGTCGACTTCGTTCGCCAGGCCTGTGTTTCTCCATAACGGGTGTTAACAGGTGGTTAACGGATTTGCGGGTTCACCCAAAATGACCCGCTATTTAACGGGTGATTAACGGATTGACCCGTTAATCACCCAACCCATTTATCACTCATCCGAATAATAATTTTAACGGATCAGGTTAACGGATCTTGTTAAAAATACCAGGTCCACTCTTCTAATTACCAAAATAGCCTGATGATTGAGAACAAACTTTAACAGGAAAAATAAAGAAATCTGTTCACAGTGGGACCAAATTAAACAAAAGGAAAAACAAAGCGAAAATCACCAGCAAATTGATTCCAAGCCACAAAACAAATGCCCTAGAAGAACAAAGGGTAAATGCTTTTCGAGAATATGACTGTACGAGGAACATAAAGTTCTCTACTCGAATATCAACTTGGTTCAAATCTCACAGACAACAGTATTTGAATAGGATCATACTATCCACACATTTATTTGTACCTTTTACATACCTTCTCAATTTCTGAGCGGCATCAAATTGAGTTGAAAAAATTAATAAATAAAAACTAACAAGGGTGTGTGAGATGTAAAAAGAAATGTGAAAAAAAAAAAGTACCCTTTAAATATCCTTCCTCAACTTTGCACATACCGAAAACCATAGGAAGTGACTGAAATACCACTGTGTAGGTTTTGAGTTTGTTAGATCTCTCTCTCTCTCCTTCTTTATAATAAAATTGATATCTTTCTTGTTTGGTCATGTATTTCAGCTCTGTGGAGCGTACTAGATCTATGCAACTTTACAAGTAATGTGTTTAAAATTCTTTTATTATCCCGATTTAAAGCACTGACGTTTACTTTGCTGCCGAACTCCATGCCCTGCATAAGCTTTTTTTGTTTTTGTTTTGTCGATGCCCTGCATAAGTTGAATACTTCCTGATACGTCTGAGTTGGTCCCTCGTTACCTTTTACGCATCAAACCTACTCGCTATGACAATGACATGATCAAAAGCATTTTCACAGGGTTTAGATAACTGAAAATTAATTCTAGTATGCTCTAGTGTATAGAAATTGATCGGTACAGGGTTTAAACGCTATACTCTGGAGCATACTAAAAAGTTCACGAATTTTCATTTGCACTTTTTTTTTTCGTTTATGATAAACGATAAGATAATTTACATTAAGGATATTTTCACTTGTGAGAAATATAAATTAGAATTATTTTGGTTCTTAAGTGACATGTGTTTACCAAAAATGGGCAGGACAATTATTTCTCCTTAATTTTTTTCTGCGTTTTATTACATGTAAAGAATTAAAACAGTGTAAGTTTCCTTTTGAATTTATAATTAAATACAGCGTTTGTTTTCACGTAAAGAATATAAAAAGTGTAAGTTTCTCCGTGAAGCTGTAATCAAATTACTAAAAATTAGAAATTGTACTAAAAATTACAGCTTTTGAATTTATAATTATATATATATATATATATATATATATATCTCCGTGTGTGTGTGTGTGTGTCTGTATATGTACACAAGGCTCATCACTTCCAATATTTGGTGACCTTAATTTTTCGATAGATGATGATGGTAGAGTAGGAGGTGGAGTGGATTATAATAATTTTTAATGACTATTTTATTGTGCATGGTGGATCAACCTTTATGAAATTTGTGGCAAGTGATAGAGATATCCCATCCCATGCTCATTGCACCAATTTAACCAACTTTTATCCAATCATAAACAAAATTAACATGGAAAGGATAAGTTGCATTACTTTTTTTACACAACTTTTAATATATAATTTTTTGTGAAGCCTACTTTCTAATGTATTTTAACGATTGGACTCTTATTTTTTAGGTATTTTCTCAAAGTTCATGTCTTTAAAGAATCACCTAAATCTGAAATCATATAACCGTTGAATTAAGGGTTTTTGGTTTCTTTGTAGAATCGTATTCGTCCATTTTCTCCGGTACAAATGAATGTCCTAAATAGTTTTGGATTTGTCCAATTTTTTTTTGCAAGAATGATCTATGAATGATATCTAAAAGATAGATATTTTGGATCATTAAAATACATTGTGCAGTATGCCCTACAAAAAAATGTGTCAAAAGTTATGTAAAAAAAGTAATTGCCACACCCCCAATTAACATTTATTAAATTTCATACAAATCAATCTCTTTCAAGTAATATCTTTTTAACATATTTGTCATTCAGTATTACGGTTTAATAATATTTTTATTCACTTGTAAGTGAGAGGTCCCATTGTGAGACTAAGCTCATCCCATTTCCCTTAGGGCTTGTTTATCAAACCAGAATGAAAGTGTAGGAAACGAAATTGCACGAACTCCAAGTCATTCCAATGTTTACCAAACCGTAGGGAATCAACATTCTGGTAGGACCCACCCAAAATCCAGAATACAATTCCTTAAATACCCGGAAATGGATTCTCGACTTGGGAGGTGGGAATTGAGTTCCTGGAAATAGATTCATCAGGGATCCAAGTTTTCTACCAATAATATCCTTATGCTTTTTTAGTAAACCCAAATACCCTTCACAATTTCACCTCCCTAGTTCCATGACCAGTCTATAGACCCATCTCTCTTCTCCCCAATCCCACCATTTCCTAACAGAGGAGCTGCGACTTCGGTGAAATCCCGACCCCTTTCTCCTTGCCCCGTCGCTGCAGACTATCCAAAACCCAAGCATGAACTCACAAAGTGAGGGGAAAATGTGTGGCATGGCTGCATGGTCATCTAAGAACACGGGGTGGGGAGGGTTGTGATAGGTGGTGAGGAGCTGGATTTGGGGATGTAGGGGGGAGAAGATGGCATCGCAGTTTTCTATTTTTTGGGGGTTTTTATGTTATTTTATATTTTTAATAAATTTGTTAATTATTTATTTTGCTAAATAGTTATGTTTTCATGTAGCCAATTGGATTTTATGAGCGTATGTGGTTATCAAAATTAGCTATTAACTAGCATATAAAAATATTATTTATAACAAGAGCAGTTTAGTAATCAAATAAGTTTCAATTCTGATTCATATGAGTGAGTAAACAGATTTTATGTAATCAACATCATTTTTATTTTGATTCCAGATAGTTTAGTAAACCGTTTCAACATGAATCCAATTCTGATTCCACCTCATTCCATCTCCTCCTCAATTCAATTCCTCCTACTCTGATTACGGATTAGTAAACGGGCCATTAGTGTAGATAATATTTTTTTTATTCAAGAAAAATTTATATAATTATGGAACATCGTTTGTTCAAAAGATAATTAATAAAAGTGAGATTAGTCAAGAATTTTGAATGATATTTTGTATAATATGGAACCATTGGTCTAAAAGATAATTAACAAAGTGAGATTAGTCAAGAATTTTCAATTTCCTTCATAAATGATATTTTGTATGGTTATGGAGCCATTGGTCTAAAAACAATTGAGAGACCATTAATTCGAAAATTACAAAGTTGAATAATTTTGGAGACGTAATGACGTATGAAGTTGCACAAGAAAGTTTACTGTTTAGAAAATTGAGACTTGAGAATAAAATGCATTAATATGGTGAAATGAAACTGTCATGATAAGGGTTCATAATTTTTGTGTAACAAAGAATTGACTTGCAAACTAACTCTTCATTAAGCTCTCACCTTTTACAACCACATGCCCCCACACACTTCCTAACCCAACTCATGTTTTTGATCATGTCATTTAACTATATTTTAGTAAGGGTTTTTATCACAAATGATTTCTGAAATTGAACCATCCCATCAAGATGGTTTCTGAAATTGAAAATCAATCAATGTAGTCTCTGAAAATGGATGATTGCAAATCAATGTGGTCCTTTCGTTACAATTCCGTAAAAATTTATGTTATATGCTTATTTGTCACATAAGTGGGTCCCACAAATCTAATTAAATATTAGCATCTATATTAAAAATATTTAAATAATAATAAATAATTTTTTCATGTCAAAATAAATAAAATAAAATAAAAATATATTTTTTTTTCCGTTGTCTTCCTCGCGCAGGCTTGGCTGCCATGGCAGCCCTGCCCACTACCAGCCGAAGCAAAAAATCCCATAGGTGTGGAGGGTTTTTGCCCAAATCTTTTGCTACTCGTAGGAAAGATTGGTGTGGGGCCGTCAACCTAGGCCTCGGGTGCGGCGGGAGATTGGAGGATATGGTGGGGAAAAGGTGGGTGTCAAAAACATTGGAGTCGAAA